GAAGCATCCACTGAAGGGAGAAAAATGAAGAGAGTCTAACATTTGAAGTCCATCTTGATGTTATTTTCTGGAAACCCATATTTAAGTAGCAAAAAGGAAGATAAGATCAAGATGTGAGAAATGGGGGCTCACTTGGGGGACTTTAACAATCTGGGCTGAAGAACTGCTGAAGGCTGCCTGGCTTTCCCAAAATAAAAGCCATAATCTGGGAGGGGCGTACTCAGTGTCAGTTCGCTGGGACTAGGTTAGTCCCACCGCCCCTCTGCACCAGGTCCCACAACCGGGGCACTCCCTTGAGTTAATCGTAGAATATTTACAACAATCCCAGACTCACGCATGTGTACATGGGACATCTACATATGCTGACTCACGCGTGTGGACATACTAGGCATCTGTGTGTGCTGACTCATGTGTGCGTACACGGGGCACCTGTGTGTGTTGACTCATGCATGTGTACACGGGACACCTGTGTGTGCTGACTCGTGTGTGTGTGTATATACGGGACACCTGCATGTATACATACGAGGCACGTGTGCATGCTGGCTCGTTGGCTCATGTGTGTATACACGGGGCATCCGCACGTGCTGGCTCATGCGCGTGTACATGGGGCACCTGCGTGTGCTGTGACTCATGTGCACATGCGCCAGGCATCCCATGTGTGGCCGACATTGCCATGGCCAGGTGCCCTATGAGCAGTGTGAGCCCAAAAAAGGCTTGTCTACATTCACTGCCGTGCCCGGACATTCCCCAATCATCAGTTCTAAGTTAACCAAAAGGGAGAGCATCCCGGGGGGGCCCAATCCATCAGAGGGAGCCCTGGCAAAGACTCAGCTCTTCCTAGAGTGTTCTGCTGGCTTTGAAGGGTCACTGCCAGGTCAGGAGGGACTCAGAGGGTCCACGGCTGGGACATGGGGGTCCTCAAGGAGCTGAGAGATGTCCCACCCAACAGCCAGCAAGAAAACCAGGACCTCAGTCCTGAACTACAGGAGCAGAGCTCCGCCAACAGCCTGGGAAGACCCTGAGCTCACGAGCCAGGTGCTGTGCCTGTGCCCTGACCCACAGACACAGGGAGGGACTACGTGGGTGCTGCTTAAAGCCACTGGTTTTTTGGTAATTTCTTGTGCAGAAGGAGAGTACTAACACACTGGTGAACGGGTTTGGGGGAATATGCAGCCTCTTTGAAGTTGTGTGTGATGTTTGTGCGTGGTGGGGTGGATGCGTACATCTGCTCCTAATTTTGGAGAAGCCCCAAGGTTTTCATCAGAGTCTCTGAAGAATGTGTTCCCAAAGGAGAGGACAAGCTCCCTCGAGAAAACGCTAGGGCTCAAGCACGTGCTGGACACAGAAGAAAAATCCAGATTTGGTCAAGTGGTGCCAGTGAACTCAGGACAGCTTTTCTCTGAAGACACGGCAGCCTGGGGTCGTGGGGGCGGGAAACACTTGTGTGTATGCCGAGTCTCCTCTCAGGCCTCTGGGGTCTCTGACAGCGGGAAGGTGTGGACGGGCTTTTCTCTGAGGCCCAGTCTGCATCCCAGCAAGCTAACAGATGCCCCATTTCCCGAGAGCTTCCTTCCCTGTCAAGACTGGCTCACAGAGCACAGGTCACATGGACTCTGTGAATATCCTGCACTTTTATAAACAATAAATTGACCTAATTACTACCCAACTTCAACCCCATGGTGGTAAGCAGATTACCATTTTTAGGCGGACAGATTAGAGACAGGATTTATTTGCCTTTGTTCTGTAGAAGAGGGATTTTTTTTCTCCTTTGAATAAGAAAAGAAACTCACCGGCCTGATCGCCCCTCCTCCCCAGCCCTGGGATTACATCCTGCTCCTGAGTACGTTCGTTTGGGTGTGGCCTGGGAAACAAAGAAGGTAAAACCGAGCTGGGGAGGGGCTAGGAAGGGAGTTGACAGTAAGAGGAAAGAGACCAAATGAAGGGCCCTGTCTGCCTGCCAACTGGAGGTTTTCCTCTCCATCAACCGTGTATTAACTTGCCATGCACAGAAAAAATGTACATGGATCAAATTTAAGAGACACAAATTAGAAAGTGAGAATTAACAGGAAAATTAATGAATCTGTCAATATTTTCATATTGGCAGACCTGGTTTATCAATTCACAGACACTGAGGGGAGGTTCACAGCCTGGCACAGTGAAAAGACAGGTTTCCCGAGGTCAGTCAGGGAGACCCTGAAGGCAAGTAACAGCTAACATCTCGCCTGTGGAGTGGTCCCTTGTCCCTGCGGGACGGGGCAGGACTCCTGGGTCTCGGACGTCACCCACATTCTATGTTGACTTACTATTCAGGGAGAGGGAGAGGCAGTGGATGGTAGGACACTTGTGCAGGTGACATTTCTGCCTGGGGCAGAGCGGGGAGGAGCCAGACTTCAGGAAGAGTGACCCGTGATGCTGCCCTCCTCTCCCACCTTAAGATGTGCCCTCCCCAAAATGCCTCCTTTAGGACATGCCCCCACTCTGTCCATGGGCAATCATTTTCTTGGTCATAGCCCTGGGGTGTGTGGGCCTATGCTCGTGTCCAGGTCTAGCTAGTGGCTCCATTTACTGACTTTTATGAAGCTCAGGTTGCTTCACAGCACCTAGTTGCAAACTGATGGATCTCCAGAACAGGTAACAAATACTGGCTGTCCCAATCTGTCTCCAGAAGGTTCTAGTTAGTGGAACAGGCATCTCTTAAGGACATGGAGGGGTGATGAGGGGAGAGGATCTCTGGAGAATGGGGCATCCAAATTGGAAGAGAAGAAACAGAATGATCTCCTTCAGAGCTGATATGATCATGTTATAGAGAAAACTCTAGGGAGTACACACAGACACCACTATTATTCAGCGAAATTGCAGGAAACAAAACCAATATATAAAAATAAGTTGCATTTCTATTCTAGTGATGAACAATCTGAAAAGGCAATTAAGAAAACAATTTCATTTACAACTGTATCAGCGAGAATAAGACACTTAGGACTAAGCTTAATGGTGGACAGAAAGACTAGTATACTGACTACTACAAAACATTGTTAAAGGGAATTTAGAAAGAGACGTAAATACACAGAAAGGCATCCCATGTTCATGGAGTGGAAGACTTAATAATAGTGTTGAGATGATCACACCACCCAAAGTGATCTCCAGGTTCAAGGCAATCCCTATGAAAATACCAAACATATTTTTTCCAGAGATAGAAAACTCTAGCCTAAAATTCACATGGAATCTCAAGGGGCCTCACATAGCCAAAACAAACAAAAAGAACAAAGCTAGAGGATTTACACTTCCTGGTCTCATACCTTTCACAAAGCTAGAGTAATGAAAACTGTGGTCCTGGCATAAGGATAGACATACAAACCAATGGAATAGAACAGAGAACGCTGAAATAAACCCTCCCAAACACAGTCAAATGATTTTCAACAAGGGTGCCAAGATCAGGAAAGGCCAGTCTTTTCAACATACAATCCTAGGAAAATTGAATATCCACACACAAAAGAATAAAACTGGATTTTAGCTTACACCATATATAAAAATTAACTCAAAATGGATCAAAGACCTAAATATAAGAGTTATGAAGAACTATGAAACTCTTGGGAGAAACCTTATGATACTGGTCTGGCAATTATTTCCTAGATATGAAGCATCAGGAAACACAGGAAAGGAAAACATAACTAAGTTGGACTACACCAAAATGTAAACAATTGGAACAGTAGTAAGAGAGAGAAAAGGCAGGCAGGCCACAGAATGGGAGAAAACACTGTCAGACCATTTCTCTGATAAGGGATTAGTATTTAGAATATATAAAAAATTCTTATAATCCAATGACAGAAACCATATAATCCAGCTCACTAATGGACGATGACTTCAACAGGTGTTTCCCTGAAAAAGAGAATGGTCCACACGCAGGCGAAAAGATGCTGAGAAGCATCCGCGCCTGGGAGATGCAGACCGCAAGCACAGGAAGACATCACTTTGCTGCCTTCAGGACGGCTCCCGCCAAGGAAACAGGAGATAAGAGTGTCAGTGTGGATGTGGGGGCCATGGCACCTCCGTGCAGGGCTGGTGGGATGCAGGATGGTGTGGCCACCGTGGACAGCAGACCAACATTTCCTCGAGAAGTCGCATGCAGAGTTACCATCAGACCCAGCAACCCTACCCCTTGAGAGGTGGGAACACACGTGTCCACACAGCATTCTGTGCACGGTGTCCACTAATCACAACAGCCAGATGTCCGGCAAACAAAATGTGGCATACGCATATCGCGGAATGTTGTTTAGCCTGAACACGATACTGCGGATTACTCGTGGACACGGAGTTGTACACTGATGATTTTCATGTTATGCATATTTTACCACAATGAACAAATACATTTTCATGGACAAAGCTAATGACCTCCTAAACTGTGCATCAGCTGACAGGTGTTTCTAGAACCCAGTAATCCTACAAACAGGTGACTATCACCAAGACAAAAGGAAAGGTCAGACTGGGAAAATGATGTCTTGATGTTCTCAAAGCAGAGAAGAGGCAACAAGGAAGAAAATAATAAATTCGACCAGACTCATATGACTTAAACCCACAACATTTAATGTCCATAAAGTGTTCTTAAAACACAGAGTTTCAAATACAAGTTTATATGACTCTATAAAAATAAACAACTTCAAACTATACAGTCTATTACATTTAACAGAACATCCATTTTCAAATTTTACAAGAATCAAAGAAACAGGATCACTGTGTAGTAATCTAAGTCACAGCAAGTTCCGATAATTGAGAAAGGTCCATTTTATCCCAGTTTCTCGAAGTCTCGGATTGCGTGTTGCTCATTGTGTACAACACACAAACAAACAATGCGCTGGGATGTTTTCATAGTTCCCGGGATCCGGGTTACAACAGAAGCGGGGGGATTCTGTCTTCTTTGTAGGAATGTCTCTGCTGGCCTCATGTTTGCCTTTGATATTTTCTTGCTAAATGTCCGCTCTTCCAGACGCACTGATTTATTCCCGTTGTTTCTCGGGAAGGATGTGTGTGATCCAGTAATTAAAGAAAGCCGAGAGCACTCTGGCCTGGTCTGGGAAGCAAGCACACAACGTAAAACAGAAAATAAAGTAGCACAGGAAAACCCCAGACAAAGACGGCCCGTGTCGGTCTTACAGAAACTAGCTGTTGGCTCTGAGCAGAGCCTGCAGAAACCCCAATAAAGCTCGGCTCCAGCGCCGAAGTGATACCGGCCGCGGCACGTGAGCCCTCGGCACACGGAGAAATCCTGGGGGTCGGTGTTTCTGTCGGGTAAGAGCCAGCCGTCTGCAGGCTGTGTCGGACCTTCAGAAAACCCACCACAGAATAGCGTCGCCACTGGTGCTCAGGGGAAGCCACAGGCGCATGGAGACCCAGTGGAGGCGGCGGCGGGCACGCAGGGGAGCGGAGCGCTCAGGGGTTGGAGACGGAGCCCCTAGAGGCGTGGACACGCAGGACCAGCGCGATCACCCCGTTGCGCCCTGCAGCCGGCCTCTGGTTCAACCCGCCCCTCTCCCGCCTCAGGGACCTGCCCAGCTTTGGGTGCAGGTTCTCTGGCTCAGGTGCCAGGCGTCCTAACCACTCAACACTCCTCACAGGCTGCCACCGACGCACAGCGGCCTCCCAGCCCCGACTGAGCGTGGACTGCCCTCGGGAGCCACCTGCGGCCAGCACCCCTGCAGCCTGGTCCGCTGTAGGCAACTGCGCAGGGAGCTCCGCCCCCACCCACTGGGAGCAGAGGCGCAGGGCAGAGGCCATTCCAAATGTGCCTGCGGCCCCCGCCAGCAGCCTGGCCCCTGACCTCTCGCTCCCTCACCAGGCGTTGAGGAGGGTCACAGGACAACATGCAGTAGAGGCCCAGGTTCCTGGTGGACCCGTGGCACCTGTATGTTGGAACCATAAGGGGTCAAGGAGGCAGCCCCCTTTCCTGTGCACCAGCTTTGCCCCAGCTGGCAAACACAGGCAGGACCGTGTGAGGAGACTGACCGGGGTGCAGCCCAGACCCCCCCAGAGTCAGGTAGGGTAACAGCTGAGCGGTGGGGAGGCACCTGTGCTGCCCCCAAATGCTGCTGTTCCCAGACCGCCTGCTGCCCATGCAGGCCACGACATGCCCACGTCAGACACGTCGACCTCCCAAGACGGGCCTCACCGCTCGTAACACACTCCGTCTACAACGTAGCTTTGGGCAGAAAAGCTCAGAACGCATCTCCTACGCGCACTAACGGGGACTCTGTTTCTAAGAAAAGTGCTTCAACTGCTTGTAAGTTAAGTTCCACCGAGCGGGGAAAGGGAGCGAGCTTGGTGATGAAACTTGTCCCGTGACGTGGACGTAAGAAGCTGAGAGAAACATCCCTGCTAAATCCCCACGTGTGGCCGAAAACTGCCGGCACACGACAGAGAAACGCAGAAGAAAGGCCTCCATGGGAGGAACACAGCACAAATTCTGAGAATTTAAAATCATTTACTTTTATCTCATAAATACTTTATATTTGTTTAACTTAATAAAACTGGCTTTCTGCAATTTGAGCTGAAACCTGATGGAAACTCAAGTCTGCTCCACTCAGGAGAACCAGCACTGAGTGCGGACACCGGCTAAGCCTCTCAGGAAGCTCCGGCTGCCCAACTGCGCCAGGCTGTGGCCCCTCAACAGAAGGGCTCCAGGAGCATCAGCCTCCCCTCTGCGGTGCTCACCGCACACTCCCTTCCAGGCTCCCCACGCCTCCTCCTGCAGGGGTCCCCAGACAGCTCTCCGCTCTCCTCCACCTTCTCTGCTCTGTGAAGGTGGCCCCTGGCAACCTTCCCCATTCTCAGTCCCACACTGGGTGTCCAGCCAGCATCCCACCTGGCCCCATGTGACCCTGGCTCCCGAGGATCCCTCTCCCGGGACTGCCCGATGCAGCATCACAGCTCAGAGCCCACCACTGGGCTCTTCCAGGGGCTCAGGCCCCACGCCTGCCCACACAGCCATGCTGCAGCTCTTACCTGCACAGCCTCCTTGAACCTCCACACCTCCAGATGGCTTCTCTCACTGTAAGCTAGGCCCCCAGCCTCCTGCTCCTGACCCTTCACTCTGGTCTGAATTTGAGAGCCGGGAGTCTTGCTTGTATCTGGGAGCAGAAGCCCGTAGCCATGGCACGGGCCATGTTGCACTCGGGCCGACACCACCACCACGTTACCCTCCATCCCGTCTGTCCGTGCCCACCACCCGCTCCCACATGACCTCCACCACACTCCATTCCAGTGCGTTTGTCCCTGGCTGCAAGAATATCTCCTCCTGCAGGATTTCCTTCTCTGCAGACTCTCATCTCACATCTACATGGCCGGCGTCTGCTCCCAACCTCGTCTCCTGTCTCCCCTCCCCCAGACACGAGCCTCCTATCTAGCGCGCACATGGCTGGCGTCTCCTCCCAACCTCGTCTCCTGTCTCCTCACCAGGACACAAGCATCCCATCTAGCACGCACACGGCCAGTGTCTGCTCCTGATCTTGTCTCCCGTCTCCCCACCGGGACATGAGCCTCCTGTCTAGTGCGCACAAGGCTGGTGCTAGCTCCCGATCTTGTCTCCCATCTCCCGTCTCCCCACCGGGACACGAGCCTCCTGTCTAGCGCGCATACAACTGGCGTCTGCTCCCGACCTTGTCTCCCGTCTCCCCACCAGGACACAAGCACCCAAGGGCAGGGCTTTGTTTGCCCCGTTCTCCGAGAATCCAGCAGCTGAGAACAGAACACGAAACAGGAAGACGTTGATGAAGTTCAACAAACACGCTAATTCAGGACATTGGGGGGCAGCTTCTCCAGGACCCCTGCTAGGTGAGCGGCAGCCCCAGCTGGAGAATGAAATGTTGACAGTCCCTGTCACTCCCCTGCTTGTCATCCCTGCGCCACACTGGGATGGCCTTACCGTCCTCTCACCTGATCTGATACTATGTTAATCTTGACCTTCCAGCTGCACCATGAGGTTTCTGGGTAGAAATGGTTAGCGTGGCCGCTCTGACATTCTTGGAGAAGTCCGCAGAACAGCTCCATTCACTCAGCCACATGCCTGGTGTGGGTCAGGTGTGGGGCTCTGCATGGCGGTCCTCCAGACAAAGCCCTGGCTTTCTGATCCTGGCTGTCTGCACACTCCTGTGGCCTCATATCCCCCCACCACCCATTTCAAGCTACTGACATGAAGTCAACCCCATGACATTGGGAGGACTTGAGCATGGCTGGCCCAGCACCTGGAGGTTTGTGTGGAATGGGTACCCTATAAAGGCCGATGCACAAGGGAGAAGTCATCTTGTAATTCATCTGTCTCCAAGGTATTCAGCAGCAGAACAAGTTAACCTCTTAGCAGCACAGCAGAGAAAGAAGAAGGGAAGGGGGAACATTTAAACGGGTGACGTCTGGCCCTAATGGTTCGCAGCTCGCCGTCTGGAAGATCAGACGGCACAGGTCCTTCTGCGCCCGTCCCATGAGTCGTGCTTACAGCACGCACATTCCCGTGTCCCGACAAGCTGCGCGCACGCCCCACTGCTCCACCCCGGGCTGTTCTGCTGCCAAGCGGGGTCTTGGAGGCAAACCCTAGGGGCCGTGTACGTACCGGGCGGCATGGTGCAACACGCCGGGAACCTCTCCAGGGCGCGCTGCAGGCTCGTGGTGTCTCGCAAGAGTAACAGTGTTTTCATGTCATCCACCAGGAGCACGTCGGAGGGGGACACGCTGTGGTCCTCGAGACGCTGGAGCAGCTCCTGACAAGCCTCCAGGGACACGGCTGAGTCCCCATCCGTGCAGGCACCTGAGCAAAGCCAGGGTCACAGAAACACATGTTCACCTTTACTCTCGTCGGGCGAACGTAAGCCCCCAACCAGACACGTCTGCTCGGAACAAGCTGTTTGCACCGAAGCTGCTGGGAGAGACCATCCGAGCAGAACGCGAACTGTGAGCAGCGAACAGGCGCTGCTGAAGCCGGAGGAGGCCTGCCTGTCTGCGCCTCCCCGTCCTGCAACACCTTTCAGACATGCTGCTGGGAGTCCCGGGTGGCAACAGGGCCCCAGACATGGCCCAGCTCTGCGGACTGGCCTCGGGCGCCCCTGCCCCCACTCCCGCTGCACGGCAAGTGCTCTGGGTATGTTTTCTGCATTAATCCCACCTGGAGTTCCTACAGCATTCTGAGTCTATGACTTGATGGCCTTTCCCAACTTGGGAGAACTCCCAGCTATCTCTGCACATGCCCCCAGCGCCCCGTCCTGGACTCCCACGCACACCGTGTCAGACCTGTTCCCGACCCCCGCGGCGCCTGTGAGCCCCAGTCTGCCTGTTTCCCGGCCATTGATCTCTCTCGTTCTGAACCGACCTCCTGCTCACACTCAGCATGGAGATCTTAGTCTCAGTGACCATACTTCTCAGAATTTCCATTTGACTGTCTTAATAGATTGAGGCTATCTGGTGAAATTCTCCAATTTTTTCAACTTTTCTATTTTTTTTATTAATCCCAGCTCTTTCAACGCCTGTCTGATAACATCAACGTCTCCACTGCATGTTTTCTCGTGGTTTCTCCTGCTAATTTAATGTGGGGATGGAGTCTGACGGTGGTCTGGCCAAACCCGCCCCTGCGGGGACTGAGCGGACATCCCCACCCACCCCTGCTCCAAGTGTGTGGCCCTCTGGGGTGCTCGAGGGTTCAACCCTTGTCAGACCTGTCAGCACCCCGAAACTGCCAAGGTCCACCGTGTCATCAAAGCTCCTGGCATCTCCCTACCTTCTGCCCCACGGTGCAGCATCTGGCAAAGGTTCTGAGGGACCCGCTGAGCGTCTGCTTCCCTGGCTCTCCTTCCACACCACACATGGCAGCCACTGGGCCTCCCCTCCCTCTCGAGGTCTGCCTGTGGCTGAAGCTGTGCCGGTGGGTGAGCTTCCCAGGGCTCAGCCGGCCCTCCCTGCACCCTGCTCCTGTGCCCACATGCATGGCCAGCAGACGCCCCCAGGGGAAGGAGGCTGTGGAGCGCCGCTCGGCCTTCACATGGTGTCACCTACTCTGGGGTCTACCCTCTCGGGTGTTTTTCTGCAGAACCTCCCAGATTCACAGGCAATGGGTCCCATACTTAGGTCTTTCTGAGGCTCCTGTGCCTATTAGCACTGTGTTCCCACTACCCTCGTCTGGGTCTGTTAAGTCCATTTTCACTCTGTCAAGACGCAGCGCTGACAGGCGTGCTAAAGGCGATAGGGTAAAACTGATCTATTAATAAGGGCATTTTTACACCCTTGTGTAAATCAGTTCCTTATCCCCCAAATTATCCCAGAGCCAGTATTTCTCAGTCTTGTTCATAAGGTCAAGTTCCTGTTCACATCAGGATTCACCAAACCCACCCCAGCCCCTGAACCCACTGGAGCATCGTCAGAGCAGGCGATGTCCGTGCCGAGTGCCTCTGTCCTTGGGGTGAACACAGCGGTTCGACAGCCCCTGCTGCTTCCTCATCCTGAGGTCGGCGTCAGTCAGTGGACACCAGTGCGAGGAGTTACCACCCATGAGAATGCATCTGCTCCCCTTTTCCACCTCCTGCAGCAACACAGAGAGCTGCTCAAAGACGCTCCCCGAAAACCTGAAATCCGTGAGTCCCATGCAGGGAGTGAACCACAGCGCGCCCGTGCTCACACCACGGCCCGAGCAGCTCCCCGAGGCGAGCGTGAGGCCGTCGGCCCCACCGAACGCACTTACCTTTCCCGACAGCACCACACCCCCGACATCGGGCTGAAAGCGGTGGGGATGCGGACACCAGCCCCGTGAGGGGCCATGGCTCCACGTGGGGGCCACGCCGCTCTCTGGCACGCCTCCGGCCGTACTGGAGAGAATTTAAAGATTCTGATCCTGGCCTCAAAACTAATGACTTACTCTGACTGCTGAATGTTTTAATGTTCCATATTTTAAGCATTTAAACTTTTTACTGTATTTATTTTTTCCGCATACATGGATACCATTATTCACAAGAACGGTAAAAAAACATACCATCATAAAAATAAATTTCTTGTGTCGACTTCAGAAAGTTTAGGATCCCATCTGCCTTCTCATCGGTACTTTTAACGTCTTCCTCGTTGGCATCTGTCCTGTCCTGGTGCTCCCCGCAGACGTCTGCCCGGTCCTCCTCATCGTCCCCCTCGTCGTCCCCGCTGCTGTCTGCAGGGGCTCCTTGCTCGCTGTCGCCCTCCTCGGGCTGGTACATGAAGTTGCGGCCAGAGGCTGCTGTGAGTAAACCCGCAGCTTTCTTCCTCTTCATCTGCTGCTTTTTCTTCAGTTTCCTCTTCTTATTTCTACTGATCGTGGGGCCATCTGTGGGCTGTGGCTGCGACTTTTCTTGTAAAAGACTCTGCTGTTTCTCTAATTCTGCTGGTTCCGTGTGATCATTATTGGGATTTTTAAAACTCTTCCTGGATTTATGCTTTCTCGCCCTTCTTCTCTTTGGTGGATCGGGAAGCTCCTCCTCTACAAAAACAAATTCAAACACAACGGCATTCCGTACAATGGAACCACAACAAACACAGCAGGCTAAGTTTTCCGTTAGAATCTTGCAGATTCAATAGAAAAGGAATTTAAAATAGTCACCTGAGTGCTTCTCAGCTTTATCTCAAGTGACCACCTGACCGCAGAACCTGGGACTTCCCCGGAACTAAACGTGCAGCGGGCACGTTCCTCCGGAGAGGCCCGCGTGAGGACAGACTGCGCACACCCACTGTTGCTGCGGTCGTGCGTGGCAAACGTGAGGTTTCGGGGATGCAAGAGCTGTTGCGGTTTTATTGGGAGTGAAATTTCAGGCCTGTGGCCGTGGAGAAAATATGTTAATTCCTGTTTCTTGAGATTTTACTTTGGTGCCTTCTAAGAGTTACTCGGATGTGAGCACGAGTCATAAGGAGCAGGTCCAGTGCAGGAACCAGCACGAGGTCGCAGCCAGAAAGGAAGGAGGAGCCCGGGCTCATAGTCAGCGGCACCGGGTCAGCCGTGCACCCGCCCCCAGGCCTCTGACGAGAGCGCGGCATCGGGCAGGGCTCGCAGACGGCGGTGGTTGGGAGGGTCACAGAGCTGACACAGTAGCCATGGAAGTCCTGCACCCAAGGGCCACGAGTGTCCCCCTCGCCCCTTGGAGGTGGCACAGACAGGGTCCACGCCAGCCAACGACTCTGCAGGCCCGGCCGAGTGGCCCCAGGAGCACAACCCTCACCAATAAGTCTCGTGTTTGGGCAGTTCTCATTCCCGAGTGGCACCCCCGTGGGATTACTGTGGGGAGTCAGAGTGTGTGACGTCTGTGGGCCAGGCGCAAGCACGGTTACTGTACTGAGTAAAACTCTCCCGCCCCGTATGCTCTACTCCAGGCTGTAATTCCGCCTCTAGCTTTGCTCGCAGACGCACACACAAACAGTTGTGCCCACATGCACATCTCTCGCGTGGCCTCTCTCCTCACCCACCTCTCCAGGTGACTGAGATGGGAACCGGCCGGTGCTGGCACTCTGGACACATCACCCCCCCGCCCTGCGCTCCGGATGCCAGGCCACGGCGCAGCCCATCCCCGCTTCTCCGGCTGAGCGGCCGACCGCGGGCCTGAGCCCCCATCCTGCCGGCTCCGTGCCAAAGTAGACGCTGTGCGTGCACACGGAGAAAGTGTCCCTGCTACTTTTTGAGTGAGTTCTCCTGGCTCGCCTGACAACATGACGGCCACACCTGTGAACCCCGGCACAATCGTGACCTGAGTGCGAAGCCGAGGCCACTCCTTGTGAAACGGTGACACCAGACTGCCCTCAGGTCCCCCCGTCGGTGTGTCGAAGGCCCCTCCTTGGTCATGCAGGATTAACTGAGCATGGTATTGTGCTATTTCGTCCGAAGCGCGTCGGCCGTGGGGCCCGCCAAGTGCAGCCGACAGACCGAGGCTGAGTCACAAGGTCTGTGAGCAGCTGCTCTCAGGAAATACAAACGCTCAGAAGTCAGCTCCTCATGGAACTACGTGTTTTTTTTTTTTAATTTCCCAGGTCCGGTTAAAAAAAGAAATACATAAATTTCCCCTCATCGTTCGTATGTGCCTGCCTTCCTTCACATGGAGAAAAGGAATCATCGGCTGTCCCACCATCTCACACCTCAGAGCAGAGCCACCTGGGGAGCAACGGCAGGTGCGCTGCGCTGCGCCCACAGCTTTTCACGCTGAATCCTCCGGGGTCCTCGTGAGCAGCGCCCTCCTCCAAGCTCCCCCAGCCTCGCCACCTGCTGCTCTCAGCCTCAGAGGCTTATCTCCTGTGCTGGGTGCTGAGCGTGAGCGCACTGCCCATCTGCTGTTTGAGAGGGGGCCGCAGAGACACCATGAAACCATCAGTGCCACACAGCGTTCTACATGGGCAGATGCGGTGTGTGCACTCTGTGCAAGGAAAACGATGCACACTCAGTGCCTCACACCGTTCCATGCAGTAGGTGTGTGTGTGTGTGCGTGTGTGTGCACTCTGTGCAAGGAAACGACACACACTCAGTGCATCACACTGTTCCACGTGGCAGGTGTGTGCGTGTGTGTGCACTCTGTGCAAGGAAAACGACGCACACTCAGTGCCTCACACTGTTCCATGCGGCAGGTGTGTGCGTGTGTGTGCACTCTGTGCAAGGAAAATGACGCACACTCAGTGCCTCACACTGTTCCACATGGGCAGGTGTGTGCGTGTGTGTGCACTCTGTGCAAGGAAACGACGACACTACGGTACTGTAAGCCCACACCCAGCATGCTAGCTGTCCTGCCTTGTACGGTGTGAGCATAGGTTGGGTTTTTTCCTACTGCACTGTCCTGATTTCCAACTTTAAGGCAATGAGCAAATACTGTTTTTGTAATTTAAAAAAATGAACTTATTTTAAACTTGATGAAATTATAACATTTCCAAACATATGGGATGTGAGTAAATTCTACTTAAACAGGAATTTATACTCTTAAATGCGTCAGGAGAAAGCTATAAACCAATGATGGAAACACCTGAAGAAGCCAGGAAAACAAGAGCAAGTGAAACACAGTGAAAGTAGAAGAAATGCACACAAGGGCAGAAAAGACAGGGAAAATGGTGCAGCAGAGACAAGTCAACCCTGAAGACAGGAAACGGATGAACAACCGGCAAGACAGGGCGCGGAGGGGCAGGGGAGGTGCGAGCCACCGGCCAGGTGGTGGAGGCATATGTACACAGACTGATGGCCGCTACAGGACACTGTGGACAATTCCACACAAATAAATGAGTCTGTATGAGATGGAGGATCCTGAGAAAAACACAACTTACCAAAATGGCAAAATGGATGCATGAAGAAATGGAACAGCTTAGTCCCATGTCTCTCAGAGAAATGGAATCTCCGGTTAAAAGAACTTCAGGTCTAGGGCACCTGGGTGGCTCAGCGGGTTAGGCCTCTGCCTTCGGCTCAGGTCATGACCTCAGGGTCCTGGGATCCAGCCCCGCATCAGGCTCCCTGCTTGGTGGGAAGTCTACTTCCCCCTCTCTCTCTGCCTGCTGTTCTGCCTACTTGTGTCCTCTCTCTATCAAATAAATGAATAAAATCTTAAAAAAAAAAAAACAACTTAAGGTCTAGGTCAATTCACCTGTGGCTTCTATTAAACATTTAGGGAAAAGATTAATGCCCAGCTTACACAGGTGTTCCCAGAGAACAGACACAGGGTGCACTGTCCTCTCTCCAGACCCTGGTGGGGACCTTCTGAGATGGGACAGCAGCAGGTGATCCTGCCCATAAATGTCCACAGGTTCCAGGGATACAAAGTAGCTGATTTAAAAACCACACGATAAAAACTCGTAGCAAAGCAGGAATGGTAGCAGAGAATTCTGACACAGGGCAGCCACAAAAAACCCACAGTGAACATGGCACACGGGGTAACATCCTGGAAGCCTTTCCGGAGGTTGGGAAAGGCGTACGACGCCCACCGGGGGAGATCCTGGCAGGGCGGAAAGGCGAGGAACGGCGCACTGGAGCCGGGAGGGAAGGCAGAGTCAATGGGCAGGCACCACAGCCGCTCGTGCAAACACAGGACACCTGCGAGACGGCACGGGATGGCCGTGCCCAGGTGAGCGCACAGCCCTGCAGTGGGAGGGGCCCACCCAAGAAGGAAGCGCCCGGCACATGACCACATGGATCGGGGACCACAAGATAATGACAGCGAGTGAGGGACTGCAGATCGTGGTCCCGTGATGCTACAGGGCTAGAGCAGGTCCCCCCACCCCGCACTGTTCCCTGCCTGAGCCACAGATCCACACTCTGAGCTCCCTGCGTGAAGACCCCAAAACACCCAGACTTGGGGGGGGTGCCTGCTGGGGGAGCAGGTGGCCAGGGCCAGGGGTGCTCCAGACACCCCCCACCCCTGCAGCAGTGTGTACATGAGGTTCTTCCCACGCTCAGGTCCGAACGCCACAGGATGACCGCAGTTCCTGACGCTTCTGGAAGATGAAGTATGGGGCAGAGTATCCTACGTATGAGCTAACACAGAAGAACAGCATAGGCGACCTGCTATGAAGGTGGTGAGAACCCCACGGCCAGGCACACACATCGGACAACCGAGGAGAAAAGGTGCTGGTGAATAATTTTCACAAATGAGATGAAGGAAGAAAGTGTCCTGGGGGGTGGGAGTCAAACCCACAAAACCCCACGAGGTCCTGGATGGAAGGCAGGGGTAGCAAGGACACAGTGGAGGGCAATGCAGCACAACCCCGGGCACGTCTCCAGCGTGACCCACACAGAGGCTTTGTCCCGGAGCCCGCCGGAGCAGAACCGCTCCCGGACACGTCCCCTCCGTCCGGGCGCACACCTCACACAGCCGGTGCTTTCTGCCAAGTGGCACCAGGTGCGTCCGCAGTCGGCGAAGGTCGGTGCACAGTAAGAGCTCCTTGACAACAGTGCCCTGAAGTCTGGCGGCGCGGCCAGAATCTTACATCAGTCCACGGCAGCGACCTTCTCGCCCAAGCTAGGAGCCTGTGGAAGAAATCAACGTGTAACTCCTGCACGGAATCCTGATGGCATCTGGCTCGGGATTTACATTTTTGATGCAAAGATCTAGGTAGAAAGTATTTCTTTATGGGAAAAGAACTGGTGAAGCACAACAGTAATGATCTGGTTCTTTCCTCTCATCTCTTGGTTAGACGAGAAGTAAAATATATATATATATATATTTTAACTCAGAACCTTCAAAAATGTTTCCATAATTTTGTATATTCTAAATGGTTCATCATAACCTCCGGCTGGGCCACTGCTGTCAGCCCGAGAAGGCTTGCATGTGGCAAGTGGCAGCCCCTGAGCCCTCAGGAAGGAGCAGGGGACGCAGGTGGGGCAGGCCATGAGGGGCAGAGCCGAGCCCGGAGATGATAGGCCAGTGCAGTCGACTCAGGAAGCCCCGTCTGCTCGTGGTGACCGATGACATTTCTGTGGTGTGTTAGGGGCACCACACATCCTTGGTCCTGCCACCCCCACCTTGA